CGGGTCGGTGGATTCCAGTAAATCTTGCGCGACCGATGTCCTTAAGTCCCAGATAGAGGAAAATGAGCGGCTGGAAAGGAGGTTGGCGCGAAATTGCCGTTTCTTCCGATCCGGGGCCAGGCCAGTAAAAATCCTTTTTTGCCCACCGGTTTCTGGGCCACCGTTCACGAAGCCCAACAATGCTCGATCGATCGGTTTCAACGCGGATTGTGAAACATTTGGGGTGGAGGAGGGGGATGTTTTATTGTTTCAGGCTGTCTGTCCGTCACTTGTCTTATACGGATCGTGATCGATAGTGGTGAAATTTTCGAATACGAGAAATGGTATTGGAATTCCAAGGAGATATAAATTGGAGAATTGGCGGTGGTCGAGATAAAAAGAGGAAGGAAGAGAGAAAGAAATCGCTCGGTGGGAAAAATCGAGAAATAAAACGTTCGATGGAACGAAGGTGAAACGAAGGAGGATCGAGAGGAAACAGGAGCACGAGTGTCACGGCTCGTTACATCCGGCTGTGAGGCAGGATCCCGAGGAAAAAGAAGATGCGGAATTATTCTGAAAGGAAGAGGAGAACTTTCGTTAGTGGCAAAGTGGCAGAGGAGGGGCACGCATTAATCATTCATCTCTTCGAGAAATCTCGATCCAATAATCCTTACAATCGATCAGCATCGAAAACCCAATAATTATTTTTTCATTTTCCTTGTCTAAAAGTATCGTATATATATATATATAATTCTTTTTCCTGAATCTGAAATCGTTTTTAAAAATTATTTCCTTCCCTTGAATTTGATAAAATGGCGTATAATAAACTCAGCCTCGATCAATTTACACACGAGCAATCGACCCCGTGAATCGATTTCTTCCAGAAAAATCGGAATCTGTCTTACAGAAAGGATAATTCGCGACATTTGTCGCGAAAAGAAAAGAAAATTGGCCAATTTTGAATACGAAGGAACGGAACAGAGGCTTTCTTCTGGATGTCGGAGAAGCAAGAATTTCACCTCGTGAACGCGAGAGGCCTTCTATCTCGTTTATTAGAGAGTCGTAAACGCGGCAAAGTCATGGCTCGCTCGTATCTGAATCTCGGCACGGTTCCTCCTCGAGTCCGCGATTAGTCAAGTCGAGTTTCTCGTGCGTCACGCGGTTTCCTCGGCATTGGACGGATTCTCGGTTTCCTTTAGCGGGTTATTAGCGCCCCCTCCCCCCTCCTCCGTATGGACGACGAACGACAGATGTTCGGCGTGATTCGAATCCGCGGCGGCGGTTCGCTGGTCCTTGGTAAAAATGTAGTAAAAGCGCGACACGGATTCCGTCCGATACAACAGAGTATCGTTGGAAATTGGAAAGTTTCGAGACGCATCGATTTTCGAAGGAGCCTTCTCCGAACCGGGTTACCCCCCCGTCGAAAATAATTTATTCGACCGATTTGCAACCGAGCTCGCAAGCTTTACCCGTTTGCCTAGAAATAGATTGGTGAATAGGAAATATCCTGCGTAAATTTGTATCGTATTTGTTTTAACGATTGTCGTCCCAATCCAAGGAAGAGATAATTCTATGGGGGAGAAGAGAAAAAAATCGATAGAATTAAAATAGCCTGCACGATTATTACGATTTACGTTTTGTTCGATTGTTTTACGCGTCCATTTAAAATTGCAATTAAAAGAAGAAGAAAAATCGTCTTTCTTTTACATTACGAGATATCCTGTATATTATGTCGTGATTTAAATAAAGTGTGAAAAATAATAACTGGATGTAGAACTTCGTTCATCCGGAAGCGAGAGAAGCAAGAGAAGGAAGAAGAAAAAAAGAAAAATTAAATTCCAACTTTCGAGAGGAAATCAGCGGGATCGATGCACGCGAGCGGCGTGTCACGCAACACCTTGAACTTCACCGTGAATTTCGAAACAACAATCGCCAGCTGACCCGTTACTCTTTCCCGCGGCATCGTTCCGCTCCTCTCGAGCTTCCCTCTCTTGCTCAGACTGCTCGTCTCCATTCAAGTCCAAATCTAATTATAACGTATATCTAGATCTTCTTTTTCCACGCAAACGAAATATCGAGAATCGAATCAACGACAGTTTCCATCATTCAACATCGACTTACTTCCATACGCTACTATATACTTCCATGTATATATATATATATACATATATATATATATATATATATATATATATATATATATACTTTCGATAACGTTTCAACAGCTTTCCGATCGGTTGAAAGTGTGCTGTCCTCTCCACTACTCTCTCACACGGGCTCTTAACCTTTGATTCCCGCGTTCTCTAACCATAATGTCCTCGATACTCGAATGGCTTCTGCCACTAGAAGCTAGCGATGGGATCGAGTTCTATATATATACATATCTTGTTTCTGCGAGACGAAGATTCGTATTGAAAATTTCTGGCGCCGAGTTATCATTTAATACTACTTTTTTCTTAGAGAATAATTAAAACACGATGATTTATTCAATATTCCATCCTCTCTTTTTCTTTCGAAATGGAACGTAAGTTCCAAACCAATTGTTCGATTCTCCTTCTGTCCAACGTTCTACTCGCGATCCGCTCGATCCCATCGCTACTAGAAACCGTTCTCCATTCCGCTAAAACGATTACATTACGTTCCATCCTTTTCCACGTATTCGAGTGCACGCATTCCACACGGCTGTTCCCCGCTATTCTCCGCTTTCGACACGAAATCGAGGTGTCATTTTGCGATCGAGGGTGGCCACAGAGCCTCTATACCTTCCCTTTTGTTCACGTGCACGCGTTCGCCGGCGCGTAAGAGCCGCGTCAGGTGGATGATTCCGCCTTGGGCGACATTCGTTCTCGAGGGCCGGCCGATCTTGATCCCCGAAACCGGCCGAGAGAACGAGAGTCTCTCTCTCTTTTTCTGGAAGGGACACGGATCGGGGAGAGATGAAGACAGGTGTGCTCGTGAAGAGAGGAGAGGAAGAAGAGGAAGAAGAAGAAGAAAAAAGAGACGAGGCAGCCGAAACGAACGCCGGGCTCTCGACCCAGTTGTAAATGGGTGAGCGACCCCGTTCTCGAGATAATATCTCGCGTCCATCATACGACGATGAATTTTTCGATCCATGTCAACTTCTCTGGCAATTAACGATCCGCTAGATGTTGTGTTTCCATGCTTGCGGAGAACGTGGGGGTAATCGTGGGAAACGATTGTACGACTTGTACGCACTTGTTCGTTTCGAGAGGTGAGAACCGATCGAATTTGTCGTATTTTTTTAAAACCTTTGAGAAACCTTTGAGAAACGTGGATCGGTGGATTTCTTTTCTTCTTGTTTCTTTTATAATAAGAGTCGGATTCACGCATCTTATTCATCTTATTGTGAATTTTATTTATAAAATCGCTTTTGTCGATCGATTTCAATATACTCTCGACGAGAATAAGAATCATTCGTGTTTCACAATCTCTATGGGGACGATACTAATTTCGTAATACAATATCTTAATTTGTGGCCTCGAATATCTTCCTTGTTGGGAAGGAATTTAACGACATTAAATCTCGGCTAACTGTACATGCGGTATAAGGACCGGTCTAAAAGTAGCTTCCTACAACTTGGAAACAGTGTCATACTATTCCAACAGACTGTAACACCGTTCATCATTCCCCGCGATCGAGCAATATAATATCATTAAAGAAAAATTAAATTAACGGTTCGCCATTTTCCAAAAATTTTCCAAAAATTTTCCAAAAGATACGATGAAAAAGTTTCGCGCTCGAATCCCATCTTTTTTCTTACACCTCCTCGATTGTCGATCCAGACGTCGCTGTGTATGTGACAACCGACGTGTATATTTACGAGATCTACGATACGTCGCGTGCAAAAAGAAAAAAAAAAATTACACGGATCGCGGTCCTCGATAATAAATAATAATAGAGAATCAACGAAGAAGAAGAAGAAGAAGAAGAAGAAGAAGAAGAGGAGAGACACGTGAAGTCGTGCGAGAAATCACAAGGGAGCCCACGTATCCCCACGACGACTTATGCCGCGTATAGTAGATTTCCCTCGTTGAAATCTCGAATCGAACGAGGCTCCCTTCTACCACTCAGGAGAACCTTAATGGAGCCCGAAGTAGGTCTGCTGCAAGCGGTGAAGAAGAGGAAGAAGAGAAGAAGAGAAGAAGAGAAGATGGTGGTGCATCGAGGCACATCGTCGAGACAACGACCACAACATCATAAAAAAAACCGAGGAGAAAAGAAAATGCAAGTGCGTCCATACTTCTTTGTTTAATAATCCTCTAATGTAATCCCCTTGTATTTATACGACTACCGTGTGTGCGTGTGTATACAAGTTGTGCGTATCCTGTTCCTTCTTCTCCTCCTCCTCCTCCTCCTCCTCCTCCTCCTCCTCCTCCTCCTCCTCGTCCCTCTTCCGAGTTTACGAGCCTTTTTTCCCTTCCTTCCTTCTTTCTTTCTTTCTTTCTTTCTTCTTCCTCTTCTTTTTTTCCTTCTTTGCCATTTCTTGCCGAAATAACAAGGATCGGGGAAAGGAGAGGGATGCAAGGAGGGAAGGAGAGGCTCGTAGAGAGGCCTTGGAGGCCTTCGAAGAGAGGGGTACGAGAGAGAGAGAAACGAGGGGGAGTAGAGAGGGGGCATTGCAACGCGGGGAATAGAGAGAGACGGAATGGTAAGCGAACGCGAACTCTCGATGGCCTGTGCCCACGAGGTCTCCCCTCGTGCGATACTTCGGTATAAAAGCAAAGCAACCTCTTTTGGATGTAACACACGAGGTTCGATCGACGCTCATCCTGGCGTCCTCTCCGTGGCTCCACGCATTCGTATTATCCGCGCGATTCGTATCGAGGAATATTGATTAATAAGCGACTTTTTTCCAATTTTTTTTTTTTTTCTTTCGTACGGTGGTGATTCTTTCTTCATCTTCTTCTTCATCTTCATCTTCATCTTCTTTTTCTTCTTCTTCTTCGCGTTTCTTCTTCTTCTCGTAACTGTTTGTCGAGGATCTTGATCGGAGGAGGAAGATGAGCAAGTACTTTGTGACCGTTCTGTGGCTACTTCCGGTACTGGCCGCGGCGCTGCCGGCCAATGACAAGCCTGGAACCGAGAACGACCTCATGGCGACCATATACACCGATTGTTTGAAGAAGGAATCGATCAATTGCATCAAGTACAAAGTATTCTCGTACGTGGACAAGATGCTCGCCGACAAGGAGGATTTCACGCTCACGGACGGCATCACTGTTGTCAAGACGTCCAATGCCAACGAGGAAGGTGCACCTAGGTCTGTGTTTTTACATTCTTTCCTTCTTTCTTTTGGTTACGCAATCATTAATCGATCTCAGATGTTCTTAAGAATTTTTTTTTAAATAATTCAACGATTTTCAGAGCTCGTTTCCTTTTCGCGCGTAACGTTCAATTAATTTGAGTCGTGTTATCGTGATTATCGTTATTGCAGATCGATAGAGTCGAGCGACTTGGACACGCTTCTGTTCGACCGCCTGGGCAGGTTCTTGAGGACGTATTCCATCAAGGTCGATCTCAAGGGGACCGATATCCTCGGCGCCATCGAGTCTGCCGGACGAAGTTTCGAGGATTTCACCGATTCCAACGCCGTGGAAAGTCGTGGCAAGAAAAGTAATTACAACAATCGATTAATTTAAATCGATTCGATCACTACTCGTATCAACTCGTATATTCATCTCTTGATTCATCCATCACTGATCAAAACTACAGGTACCATACCACTTCGTATTAGGAGTATCGCGATTATACTTGTTGTATCGATTACGATTGATAATTCGGTACCAATTTTCGAACGAAGGCTCGTCGTTCGTCGACGCTTTTCAACCGCGACGTCGGCTATGCCGAGGAAGCTGGATGCCGCGAGACGTTGACCCACTGAGAAACTGGTTCCGCTTCCCCTCGAAGCGGACCCACAAACGGAGACGCGATCACCCGCGAGCGAGGAGAGAGAAAAAGACGGACAGACCTCCTCTCGAGATCTCGTCGCGCGAGATTTTTGACATACTTTCTTCCGTTCACGGGGTACGTCGCCTTGACCTTCGCCTATTCCACTTAAACGGATCTCTCCGCGCGTATCATTCTGAGAAAGGTCGCCCCCCCCCCTCTATTATCTCGTGGGAAGTTCCAGATAAATTCTATGCACTCGCACGAGAAACAGATCTCGCGTGTACGATTATGCGATCGTAATCATCGATGAGAAATTCCACGCCTGGCTCCCGACCGAAAGTTGGCAACGATCGCCTCCCAAACTCTATTATATATTATTATTTCCCTTTATCCGATATCTTATTTCGATAGAATAGAAACAAATTGTTTATTCTTGTCTATTCTTTCCGTGCAAATCCTGATATCCTGATAAATCTTCCTCGATCGTTAACCGAGAAAATTGTAACGTTGTTTACCGAGTTAACGAGTAATTATTTCACAGAGAAAGCCCAGAAGATTCTCGGCCCCCTGATGATGGCTCTGGCCCTAAAGGCTGCAGCCCTGTTGCCGTTGGCGCTGGGCGCGATCGCCGCCATCGCTGGTAAAGCACTCCTCGTCGGGAAAATCGCCCTGGTTATCTCAGCCATCATTGGATTGAAGAAGTTGCTCAGCTCGAGCGGGAAACACGTGACGTACGAGGTGGTGTCGCATCCTCATCACAGCAGCAGCCACATAGTGAGCCACGACGATGGGGGCCATGGCGGTTACGGCGGAGGTGGCGCCGACTATGGCGGCGGTTATTCCGGCGGAAGCAGCGGCCACGGCTGGGCCAGAAGTCTGCCTCAAGACGCCCACGAGCTGGCTTATCGCGCTCACCAACCTCAACCGCAAGCATAAAGAATCTCATAGAAAGTCACTTTCCTCTTTACCTCGTCCTTTTGATTCACTACTACTTTCCACTTCCTTCTCACTTCCTCGTCATCCTTGCGCTCTCTACTTTACGTTTATTTATTATTGTTCCTGTTGAACGACGTTTCATCTCAACGTTTTCCATTTTCCATTTTCCATTTTCCTTCTTCCTTCCCCGAATTCCTCGAAATTCTTTCTTTCGTCCTGTTTCTACGAGGAACCAGTACCTCCACGAGATACTCGTTCCAATGTATAGCGTATATATATATATATACATATGTCGAGCATTGTTTATTTATTCAACAGCGCCTAACACGATCTAGTATTTATTTAATTCTATCTCCATTAGATCGATCTGTTATTTGTTTACCGCCTGCATATTTGTTCTTTGTAATAAAGAGATGACGAACGGCGCGATGCGGCGTCTTGTCCCAAAGAAAAAAGGAAAAAAAAAAAAAAAAAAGAAAAGAAAAGAAAAGAAAAAAAAAAGAAAAAAACGAAGCGTACGTGAGCGTGAGAATCCGTTTGCTCTATTTATTTACACTTGCACTTCGAGTAAATTATTTTGTATCGTAGGATGGCACCATTGTCGAACGAATCCCCCCTTGAATCATTTGCGCGTTTGAGCTTTTTTTGTTTTTTTTTTTTTACAGTTTAATATTTATGAAAACGAGCGAAAGTAGTATAGGAACGCGTCGTCGGTGCATCCATTGATACCTGAACCAGATACGAGTTAATGAGCGAACACGTTATATAGGGGATTCCGGCTAGTAGAAAGTACTCGCTTGCATGCAACTCAATTGTATTGTTTTCTTTTTTCGAGAGAAAAAAAAAAAAAAAGAAAGAAAAGAAAAAAAAAAAGGGAACAAGCTCAGAAATTTTCTCCACACAGTGAGTTATCTTTCCTGCAACGATGCGAAATTCCTCCCGGTGTCTTAATAACAACCGTAGCAACGTCGTAAACAATGTAAAATATCGAATAACCGGCGTCCACTCGACCGTGTCGCTACTGACCCAGCTTCGTCCAATGGTCGTTTAATGGCTCGTAAACCGTAATGGCTCTTTTTCGCCAAGCACTCTCATTACTAGCCACTTAGATTACAGGCGTCGGCGTAGCGAAACCGGATGCGCCGTGAACTTCCAACCGGTAACCTGCATACCTACTGTATAATACCAGATAAAACGTTACGCGCCCGGTGCAAGGACGACAATGGAATGAACATTAAAGATCCCACTGTGACGCGTGTGACATTGGGTTTCGTCGAGAAGGTATCATCAACGAGGATCGCCAAGCGGAAAATGATCAGGTCGATGGGATCTCTATCGAGCAGGAAATCGTTGTGGTTCTTGTGCAACTGATGGCGCTAGCGAGATCTAGCGGTTGCTTTCGCCGACGTGCACAGTACAGTATATCTAAAAGAAGTGTACGTTTAATTACTGTTATGTATAAATAGTATTATAAGTTTGTTTATACGTTTATACGATACTCGTTTAATTTCTTTAATCTTTATTCGATTATTTCTAGAATAAATACTATCTAATAATTCTATTATATCCCGTTTTCATTCAATCAACGTTAATACTGTAATATTGTACAGAGTTATTGTTAATATATTAAATAAAATTGAAAAATAAATACAATTTTTTTATAAATAGATTATACGTTATAGTACGCAATTGTGAAATAAAACAGATCGTTGAACCTCTTCGATTATACTAATAAAAATTTTATGTAAAAATTCAATTTTGCTGCTGTTATATGAATGATGTTTAAGATCGAGACATTTCTATTTCTATTTCTATATTATATTTTGCCCGAATTTCGATGCTTATAACTTCAATCGATAAAATTTTCATATCGATTTTTATTTTTTACACGTCTCGTATAGACTCAATATATCGTCAATATATCGACACTCTGCGAATAAAAATTTGATCCAATTTTCCAAATTCAACCAAGTACGAGAAAAAAAAGAAAAAAAGAAATTCAATATTTTATCACTCGACGTTCTCGATCCAGAAGAATTCCCTCTATCATCGATCGATTCGACGTCGAAGCGTGGGAGAGAGAGGTAGCAGAAGTAGCGAAAAGAAATCGAGGCGGAACAGGGCCGCAGGTCCCCCCAATCGAAATTTCAAATTTCTTGCCTCGCTGCCTTCCTCGACGCTTCACTGCGCCCAATGTGAATCCAAACATTAAGAGGAACGATGCCCCCCTTCGAGAGGGGGGGGGGGCCACGCGTATCTACGCGTTTTCACTTGGCGTGACCCAGTTATTCCGGCCCTCCCCTCCGGCCAGGACGAAAATGGCGAGGATGCGACGGCAAAACACAGGATAAGAGGGAAAAGCGCCCACCGCTGAGCGAGCTCTTCTAACCAGGACGGTTGATATATACATATATAAACACATACGATGACTAACGGTCCCCGTTAATTAACACAGCTTCGTTTCTACTTTTATTCGTGTCATAAATGTAGAATACGCTTGTCCAACGAGCGTTACATCTATCTTAACCGCCAAACAATCATTCCTCGTTACAATCTGTTTAATCCATTCGATGTTAATCAACCACCCCCTGTCCTCCTCCCTCCCTCTCTCTCTCTCTCTCTTCCTCCTCCTCGTGTGGAAGTGCTTTCGATTTCAGGCCTATCGAGATACGACGATAACGCGGGAGAAAATGAAAATCGTTTTTTCTTCTCTTTCTCTCTCTCTCTCTCCAGACGAAAAATTTCCAAATTTCCAATAATTTATAGATGAATATTTGGATCGCGTCGAAGAGCGGAAGATGTCGAGCGACGACAAGGGCGTTCCGCTCCAGAGTAGCGAAACGATTCGCCTGAATCCGACGTTTTATCATCGATGGATCGAGGCGGTAAAAGGGAGGGGAGGGGATGAGGCTCCGAGGCTCTCCTCTTCCGCACGGGAGAGGGGAAACGCAGCGAAATTCTCGCAGCAGATCTCGCTGCTCTCTATCCACGGATGCAACAACCCTGGCGAGACGCGATCTCTCAAGTGATCCTTGGCAATGAAAATGCTCCCACAATGGCCGGTATTCGTACGCGGCGCGGCCGCCACGAAGAAGGTGGGGAGGATATCGCCAGCAACGGAGGTACACCTGACCAGATATATAGAGCTAGGGCAGGGCTTCCGTTACGGACAGTCCAGTTACTGTGCTCTGTGCAAGCACGCATCTCACGCGGCCAAAAGTGTCAAACCGATCCAAGTAAACCGGTGGCCGAACAGCTTCGTTTCGCGGCAGGTGTCTTCGAAGGAAGGAAGGTCGAGAAAACCGATCGTCCGAGCCTTATAACAATCTTGCTTCGGTGGGTATCGAATATGTATTGGACGAAGGGGGGACAGAAGAATTTTGAGAATTTTTCTTTTCGAGGTGATACACAGATTTTCGTGGGCTTCCAGGGTTCTTCCTACGAGATGGTCCGACGGTTGGCGCATTGCTCCGTTTACCTGGCACTCCTGTTGGCCGTGGCTTCGGCGAGATCGGCCGAGACCAATCCCACGACCAATTCCATCGACGAGGAGGCGGGTAGATCGACGGGGAACGGCAACGTGTTCGGGGATCTTCGGCAGATGTACCAGATCTACAAAGAATGCGCGGACGAGGATCTCAGTTCCTGCTTGAAAGTGAGGCTGTTGTCGGTTATAGACAGGGTGTCGAGGAGCGTCCAGTTGAACGTCGCGGATGGGGTCACGTTCGTCCAGGACGATCCAATTTCGACGAACGTTGCGGAGGAACCGCCGAAATCCCTTCAGGAGATCGAGGCTAGCCTGCCGAGAAGTTTGGAGGACAAGGAGGACGCGTTGAACACCATGATCTTCGACAAGGTGGTCAAGTTCTTCCAGAGCCACACATTGAAGTTGAAACTGCCCAATGTGGAGGAACTTCAACGGAGTCTCGTAGAGGAAGGTGAGAATATTAGGAAAAAAAAGAAAGAGAAAAAGAAAATCGCAACAATTCGCTCGAAACAAATAATCGTAATTTGTGAGGCAATGATCCGAAAAAAAGAAAGTTCCCAGTTCCGGTTTCCCGGCTCAGTAGACCGTATGGCCCACTCTTTTTCACCTCCCCGCAAACACTCGGCAATAAATCTCCAATTTTCCACCTCTCCCTCCATCGAACCCTCGTCGAATCGAATTCCAATCTTTCTTAATCAAAGTTCGATTATTTCAGGTCGCAAAAAGAAGAAGAACATGAGCGGTCTTCTCGCCATTCCCCTGCTGATCGGTGGAACCCTGGTGCCACTAGCTCTGGGAGCGTTGGCCCTCCTTGCCGGGAAAGCTCTGATCGTGAGCAAGCTCGCGCTTGTGCTGGCCTCCATCATCGGTTTGAAGAAGCTGGTGTCGGGAGGCGGAGACCACGGCCACGAAGTCGTTCAAGTAGCGGGTGGCCACGGATCGAGCGGATGGGCGAGATCGAGTCACGACCTCGCCTACTCCGCCTACAAGCCGTCGTCGTCCACCTAACGAAGGAAAACAAAGGAACCAACGAGAGGGGCCAACAAGAGATCCTTGTCTTTTCAATCTCGTTAGACTTCGCTTTCACGAATGATGTCCTTCCTCGACGTCCAGATGTCGCTTTTCACCACGATCGTTCATCTCTCCCATCTCTTCGCCGATCTCTTCTTCCCCAACTCTCTCTATTTCTCTCACACGCTCACGTCACGCTTCCCTATTTCCATTCCCGAAACGAAACGAAACGAAACGAAACGCAAGAAAGAAAAAAAGCATTCGATCGTCCCATCCCACACCACAGTATTTATTTGTTCTTCGCGGAGCTGCTAGCCAGCCATGTATATTTATAGATGTATGAAAATATATTAAGATCAAGATTCGTTTGTATCCATCGATCGACTTATCTTCTTCTTGCCTAGAATCCCTTCCCTCCGATTCTCATCCCAAAAATTACTCTCTCTCTCTCTCTCTAATTCCGAGCGAATTTTTTCTTCTTTCTCAATAAAATGCAAAACGAGACTCGTCTCGTCGAAGTGAATCGTCTCATCGACGAGTCGAAGTCGGGGAGGGGGTAAATTCCTCGAGGCTCGTTGAAAGTAATCGGCTCGAGCCCGGGAGAATCTTCGATACGGTCTCCGCACGCGTGATGTTTTCTGGATGCAGGGCAGGAGAGCGCTCGCACTTCCGTCTTTTTCTTCTTCCGCGCGAGCGGAAGGGGCAAGAAAGCTGAGGAAGAGAGGAGGAGGGCAGAGCTCTTGTTGAGTTACCTAGATACTAGAAACCACGCACGCACACCTTACGCACCTTACTTGCCCGGGACGCCTGGCAAGGTCCGCGTACGAGCGCGCGCACGCGCCCGAGCGCCAGACGCACGATCGAGAAGTAAACCAGGCCAGTCAGCATCCGCGCCGCCGAGTCTTCTCGGGCCTAACACTCTCCACCATCCGGAAGAAAAAGCGTGTGTCTCTCTCTTTCTCTTACTCCCTCCCCTCGGCCTCCTCCTCCTCCTCCTCCCTTCCCCTCCCCCTCCTCCGCCCCTCCGCCTCCATCCATCCGTCCATCGATCTCTCCCTCCTCGTGATCCGACCACGTGACACGGCGAGGATCGAGGTTCATCGATCCTCGTCGAGCACAATCTCACGGGTCAGGTGGTCCCGTTCCGAAGATGGCTCTTCTTTCGGCCCTTTTCGACACCGCCGAAAGTAGCCGAACACTGCCTCGCCTCGTTTTCCACGAGGAGAAGAGGAGGAGGAGATCTCGTTTTTAGAGAAGATTTGCTCGAGTCCCATCGATTATGCGCGTATTCTCGATTCATTTTCGAGCAGATATTTTATGAGAAATTTTATCATCTTACGAAGTAGATTAAGATAAAGTTCGAGATTAGAGTCGTTCATCTCTTGCTCTCTTCGTTTCGTGTATATATATATATGCTCGATATTGAGTTGGATTTTGGAATTTTTTGAAATTATTCCTTTCTCTCTGTCGATCGAGAATTAAAATTATCCATAAATCCGATCAAATTTGAATCGCGATTATGGAATTATATGGAAGAAAGTGGAACGAGAGCTGTTTCATTCTTGTTTTCGTTCTCTTTTTGTTTCGAGGTTTTAATATAAGCGGAACGATAAGAGAAGAATGCAAAGAAGAGTGGGAACGAGGACTCGTTCATTCATGTGATATATGTGCATGGAAAGTTTTCTGTTTCTCTCTCGTCTCTTGCTTTTTCTTTTCTTCTCTTCTTCTTCTTTTTTTTTTTTTTTTTTTTCGTTGGTGGCGAGTGTTTTGGGGAACCGGTAAAGAAAAAGGAATCAACGGGATCGAGAGAAGGCGAGAGAATCGAATATGCGTGAATCGCGTTCATTCATCCGTGCCCGACGACTCTCCTTTCGTGTGCTACTTTTTCTTCCCTGGAATAGTTCATTCATAGATCGAAATTCAAGCTAATTGATCGCGAGATCGCTTTTCGGAATTTCATTCGATTTATATTTAAAACTTGAAATAAAACTCGAAAAAAAAAAAAAAACTCCTTCACCGTCGACATTTTTATAAAAAGTCGACAACATGATTGATGACGAATGTATGTAAAATTTCCTCGCCGAATTAAAATTCATTCATTCGAAATATCTAATAATTTTCATCAATCGAATTTCATCTACTGACAACTACTGATTTACAATATAAAGTTAAAGTTTCTTCGGATAAGCAGGCAGTTTCTACCTGAAAAATTGAATCATTTGACGAGTCGATCGGGTAAGATCGTTACGTTCTTTCTCCTTAGTGGAGAATTTTCTTTCTCCGATTACTGATTCACACAAGTGTTGACGAAAAAAGAATAAGAAGAGGAAAAAGAGGGGGAGAGGTGGGGCTTTGCTTCGTGGGGGCCTTGACCTGACCTCGATCCTCGGCCGAGTTCACTCTCGCCGGCGTCGTCGAGAGGAAAGTGTTCCATTATCACCGCTCAGCTCGCAGCCGCCTCGCTCTGCCGTCAGGATTAGCGTTTCGGTGCTCGAGAACAAGCGACTTCGACTGTCATTCGTAAATAAGTTTATTCATAAATAAGTTGTTACGTGCACCATCATCCATCACATCATTGAATCAGTAAACTTGAACTTTGTGCTCGGAGGATGTCGAGGAAGACAGATCGTCTTCCATTTTGCTAAAAAAAAAAAAAAAAAAAGAANAAAAAAAAAGAAAAGAAAAGAAAAAGAGAATCGATATTGATCGATGAAGTGAAAGTTCTTCTTAATGAGATGCAACGCATTTCTTCTTTTTTTATTTCTCTCTCCTATCGACTTTCCTCGTCCTTTCGCTTCTTTCTTTGGCTTCTTTCACTGGTTCTCTTTTCTTTCACGTAAAAAGAACTCGTTTGAATCCTATCATTTGCTCGTTTTTATATTTTATACATTTTTAATGAAATTTTCTTTCTTCTTCTTAAACTTAAGATATTACTTACGAGTACAAAGATTTTTTTCTTCTCATTTATTCACCACTCTGAATGATTTAACAGAACAGAATCATTAAATACCAAAATCAAAAAAAAATAAAAATGTCTACCTTCTCTTCACGAAAATAAAAAAGTTAAAAGACTTCCTTCGATTATATACTACTCTCCCAACTGTAATATTACTTTCTAACCATCTACTAACGATTTTCCACCGACTCTAAAAATAAAAGAAAAAAAAAGTCTACCCAATCCTTCCCGATATCGATATCGACACAATATAACAACAAACTTCCACTTGCCTTATTTTTATTAATTAAGTTATAAATAAACAAGAGAGAGAGGAAAAAAGAAAAAGGAGAAAAAGATGTCGAATTCGCGGTGGACAGAGGCGCGACGGAGAAAGTCGCGGGGATCGGAAACGAGCCTCGCGTCCTCTCATCTTTTTCCTTCCTCCATACGCGCATTTTTTCTAGGCGAGACGTCGTCTTCGGGGTCACGGCGAGGCGCGGCCGGCTGTTCTCCTTGAGGAGGTCTGGCGCGGACCCAACTCGTCCAACGCACCACGGACATTCCATGAAAAACCGTTAAACGTTACACGCGATACCGGCCGCCGGTTCGTACGAATACATTAATGTTTCAAACAACATTTCAAACAACGTTCGTCCATATATTCGATATTTGACATGGAAGGAAAGAGAAGATATCGTCCTCGCCGAGGAGGAATGCCGGGGATTCGATCGTTCAATCGCGTACACGATTAACGGATAGAGAGAAACGTTCGCGAGGAATGGAAATGGAAAAAAAAAAAAAAAGAAATATTCGAGAAATTCGTACAACTGATAAATCGATGGGATTATTAAATCGAACGGGAAGGAATGGAATTCTCGAACTTCGAACAGAGGTGTACAGAGGAAGAAAGTATTTTGGGGAACGAAGAGGAGGATCGACGAGACAAATTTACGAGAATGGAAAAAAGGTGGGGAAAAAGGTGGATGATGAAATTTCGAGTTAGTAGGCGAGTGGTGTGGAAGAAGAGGGGAGGAAGGGGGGAAGGAAGGATTTGCGAATGGAGAACGCACGTTCGTTCCGCTCGATAGGAGGTCGCGACGAGGAAAGTTGCGGAGGCGTGAGATTTCAAGTATCTTGTACATAATGCGAGGTATTATACGGCTTGTTGAAAGGGAAATTGCGCCGGTTATCGCTCGATCCTCCTCCTCCTCCTCCTCCTCCTCCAGGATTCCTGAATGTTCGAAAAATAGATGTTATCCTCTCCCCCTCTTTCGCTCGAGAAAAAGCAAAAAATATTTCTCGGAACGGAAACGCGCGATCGAAATGTCGAATGAATGAGAAAATTAAATTCTTTGTATTGTATCGAGAAGGGGAATGAAAAAAAAAAAAAAAAAAAAGGGAACAAGTAACAGTTGGAGGGGAAAAATATTGTTTTTTTTTTTTTTTTTTTCTTTCTTTTTTCAAAGTGTTTCCTATTTAATATTTTACGATGTTTTCACAGTTACTTTTAATGAATTTGGAACTTTACTATTTTCAAGAATAAATTCTTCTTGGAGAATATAGAAAGTAATTTTATGGATTACGCGGAACCGGTAATTAAATTTGGATACCTCTTCTTCTGAGAGATGTACATGCAAATAAAGGAAAACTCGATTTTATGGTATATTTACAGAACAATTTTAAGAGCACACCGTGAGAAGACTTATTACAACCGAAACGATTCCCTGTGAATATCATTGACCCTGAATATTCGATTTCTAAATACACCTTGCTGGTCTCTCTTCGGAAACAAATACGGTACCATAGAACGAGAAAGTAACCAAATTCTACCAACTTTCCTTCCATAATTTACAAAAAATATTATCACGTCTCAATAACTCCTTTCAAGAGTCCGTCCACAATGTGCCAAACTAATTATAATATCTCTTCCTAACGAAACTTCGTTACGTACCGAATACCTAAATCGATAATATTATATTTTATAAACGCGGATAAAAAAGATACGTAACAACCGATTTCGAGATAACTTGAGATCGATCGTTGCCAATCAATGAACGGATCAATGAAAAATACTACTTCAACGAAAAAAAAAAAAAAAAAGAAAGAGAAAAATAAATAAACGTGACCAAACCTACCGATATAATATTTATTACACGGAAACAGTCTAAAATAACTTCCTACCGTAACATCGTGTATATATTTTACCGAATAAAAACCTGTTACCTAAGTATATATGACGAATACACACACTCGTCACGAAGAATGCCATTTGGTTACAACTTAATTCAATCTTAGCAGCCTATCTTGCATTCTTGCTCCAACGTCCATCACTTTTGCAATATATATATATATATATATATACGTGTATATCATAAGCATTTCGCATATTTTTCAAACAAGAGAGGAGACACCAACCAACGATATTGCGATTCCGCATTCCCTTCTTCGAAACGACCATCCATTCTCTAAATCAAAAAAAAAGAAAAAAACAGCATCATCCCATTATCTACCTTCGATTCTCTTTCCTTTCGAGACACACTCGAAACGTGACACCGTATTCCATTTCCCAATTGGACCCTCGGTTCAATTTCGGAAGGGCTGGAAGCGCGTGGCTTTCAAGCATCTTCCAGCAATTTCCCCTCCCTCCCTCCCTCCATCTCTCTCTCTCTCTCTCTCTCTTCCCCCCCGTCCGTGACCAATCGTCCGACGAGCACTCACCTGTGCGCGGTCAGGGCTGGTTCAAACAGAGGAACAGAGAGGAGAGAAGCGAGAAGGAGCGAGGCGCGGAGGCGCGTCAACGGGAGAGACGCGCGCGACAGGGAAACACGGGACGCGACGACCGCCTGGAGGAGAACCAATAGCTCGTATGGGTTGTAACCCAGGCGGGGACCAAGCCGGTGGGGGCCATCAAAATTTCAAAAACGTACGCGGGCCCCTTTCGCGACGAGGATAAAAGGCAGCAATCGTGATTCTTTCGGTCAGTTTCGATACGATCGCCGCAGTTCGTGGTTCGACCCGTCCGTGTCGTGAACGGGCCACGTCTGTGAACGTATATACACACACACACACACAAAAAAAAAAAAAAAAAAAAAAAGAAATACACGCTCAACTGTCTAAACTTTTATCTTTATATATCTCGGATTCGATCGTTTCCTGTGATCCTTCCCACCACCCTTCTCGCGTGTGCAAAGTATAATCGTATATTCCCGTATATTTGCATCCAGTGTGAGCGACGAGCAAGCAAGAAGGAAGAAGACGATGACGACGATGACGATGATGATCAAGTTGTCGGGGATCGCCGTGTTCCTTGCCGCTGTGGCGACGGCCGCCCCGGCGGCCCAACAGGCGGCCGCCGTCCATCAACCGTCCATCCTCGAAGAAGCTCTGGACGTGTACGCGTCCTGCTCGGGCGAGGAGCAGGACGTCTCCGTCTGCTTGAAACTGAAGGCGCTCGGATTCGTGGACAGGGTGGCCAGGTCGAGCGCGGACATCGAGGTCGCGGACGGGTTCAAGATCGTTGAGACGGAGGAGGCGAAGAGCAGGTAAGGGCGGTGGATGGCGGGAAAGTGGACGGGTGACACAAGAGGAGGGGGAGGGAGGGGGGGAGGAAGGGAAGGGAAGGGAAGGGAAGGGAAGGGAATGGAATGTACGAGAACGAGCGTATCGTATCTCGTCGTTCACGCAGGGATCTATTACGTTTTCCAGCCGCGCGGACAATGGAAGATCTTTGAACGACATCGAGAGTAGCCTGCCAGCCGAGGCGGGGGCCAAAGAGGCGGCCATCGATCAGGCAATCCTCGACAGGACCGCCAAGTTCCTCTCCACCCACACCGTCGAGTTGAGTCTACCCGAGGACGTGTCCCGCTCCTTCGACGAGGGTGAGCAACAAAGCGAAATGAAATATTTATTATTATTAATCAATCGTCATATAACGATTTATCGATCCATGGATCCGATTTCGATTCCAGCCCGAGGAAAGAAGAAGAAGATCGTCAAGTCTCTGCTGCCGATCCTGTTGCTGCTCAAACTGAAGGCCGCCGCTCTGATACCGATCGCGTTGGGCGGCCTTGCCCTGCTCGCGCTCAAGGCGCTCGCGATCGGCAAGATCGCGTTGATCATCAGCGCCATCATCGCTCTCCAGAAGCTGTTCGCCAACAAGCATCAGAGTTACGAGGTGGTCGCCCATCCTGTACACTCGTACGGGCAGGAAGACCACCACGGTTGGGCGAGATCGTCGGGCTCCGATCTCGCGTACAAGGCGTACAAACCCTCCGAATAGTTTGGGAGGGAGGGGGGGGGGCGATCACGTTCGTTCGTAGTAGCACGAAAACGTTTACTTCATTCTCAACTCACTACCTTCGCTCGCCAAAGTGACCGTTCGGCCGAGGGGCTGCGCGATCTCGATCCCTCGAGGACTTCGTCTTAACTGAACTGTGCGATCGACCTGATTGGACGGACCGACCGATCGATCGATCGATCGATCGATCATCACCTGGATACTGGAGTCGATGCTCGTCTCGGAGTAGTATCGTTACACAGTGACACACATATTCTACATTTACGCACATACACACATACGTGACGCCACGTACTACGACTGCCGACCGCCGAATAGATATTTTCCTCAGACTTGGAGACGGTTGCGTATCGGGTGGTATCGATCGCTGGATCACGATTTTCGTCAATTGTGACGTATGCAGCACGAAGAGCAGCCATGACGGACTTTATTCATTATGGTGAACGGTGGTCAACGTATGAATATATCACGTTCCACCACAGTGATCGATACGGTATACCCCCTTCGAGGGGGGTCGACGATCCCTCGATCGCAGATCCCGGGTCGAACGCGCTCGGACTCAGTAGTCAGTACCTGTACAGGGCTACCAGATTTCATCCAATGATTATTTATATTCTCATCCCGTGCCCGGGTCGCCATGTAACTTATATCGAATTATTTATAAATAAATGTTAATTTTATACGAAGCTGTTTTGTCGCACTCTCCCTTTCTCTCCTTTCTACTAAATCGATGCGCGCGTGTGTTTTTTCTTTTCTTAAAGTTAAAAGAGCGAACATTTGGACTCTCGTTGATAATTTTTGGAATAAAATTTCTATTATTTGTCGTTCGCTTTAGATCGCTTCGTTTCCATTTTTCCATATTTCCTTTGGAAAAAAAAAAAAATAAAAGGAAAGAAAAAAAAGAACGTACAAAGAGTTTTGCATATATTCATCGCTCGAACGTAATCCTCTCGACGTTCAAAAGTGTATATTTGTCAAATAAACGTTTGAAGCAAGCTGAATGGACGATAGTTAAATAAAGGCAAGTTGAAAGAGTAATTTGCATTCAAGGAGGATCTCTTTCGTCTTAGTCTTAGGAGGGAAACGACTGCGCGTTCAACAACTTTTCCCTTCTCAATTTCATCACTTTCATGAATCGATGACTCGATGCTGATATGACCGGTTTACATCGATGATAATCCTGTAGATTTGAATTATTCCATCCTGTTTGACGAATTCTTAGAAATATTTTTTTATAATCGCGATTTTTTTACATCTTAGATCGAAACGATTGGATCGATATTTAAATATTTCAAATATTCAATAGTTTTTTTTTTTTTTTTTTCTTTCGTCCAAAATCACACTCGCGTGAGAATTTCTCGCAAAGCGACATTTCTGACAGTCTAACTCGCTTCTCGCTTCTCGAACTCTCGAAATTGGCCTGCTCGAGTGCATCCGGTGTATCGAGGGATCCTCGATCTCTCGTACGAAATGAAAAGAACACAACCAGCTCGAGAACTTTCGCTGCTCGAGAAGATTCACCGAGTGAAACCAATTGTTTGTTCCGAGTGTGCGTGAACGTCCTTTGCCGCCTATATAGGGGGCCGATCGTGGGCGTTGGATCAACAGTATTGTTCCAGAACCCGGTTACCACTATTCTTCCTCCTCTTCCATCTCGATCTTTCCTCCGTTCTCTTCGTTTCCTCCAAGGAGAAAAACGATGGAAAACGTCGGATGAGCGAATCGATCGATCCTCGAAATTCCTCCTCCTCGGGAATGGAGCGATTGGCCTAAATACGGGGAATCAAGGGAAAAACTTCATCATCGCGAGACTTTCTCCCCGATCTTCCTTTCGTGGAACGCGTCGCGATGAAGCACGGATTGAGAACCTTGTGCCTTTTAATCTACATTTCTACCGGGATCACGGTGATCGTTGAATCGATCGAGGAGTCGCCAATTTCGACGAACGAGGGAGGAGATCGTCTGCCGAACTTCGACGACGAGGGTTTCGCCTCGTGCCTGGCTGGGAAACGGCATGCCACGTTCGAATGCGTGAATCGAGGCGCCCTGTCCGCCCTTCGATCGATCGATCGAAAGGACGATCTGGATTTTGGCGACGTGCACTTGGAGAGAGCGGGCGGCCACGGTAGAGAAGCTTTGGATTGGGATTACGATCCAAAGGATTTCGGGAACGTAGCGAAGGCGGCTATCGAACTGATGGAACGACGAAGCCTCAGATGGAGTCTGGACAACGTGTATCCCGGGCTGGAATTGAGAGCCGGCCCGACGTTGAACGGGAACGGGATACTGGAGTTCGTCGTTAATGAAAAATCGACGGTTTTCGGGGACAGGCAAACTTTGGGCCCAGGTGAGCATTCTATACATCTTATCAAGTATAGTACGATCCTCCTCTTTCGAGTTTTCGTAAACCCAACGGATATTTATTTTACGTCAGACGACACCAATTTGCTAATTTGCCAATAGGCGATACACGGCTTTTTTCGATCACGGAAACAGCACGGAAGCGAACCCATGCCGTTCTCCATGGTTCGTATCTGGGCTGAGTTCGCCATAAGCTGGTTTCAGGAAGCACCTCCAGCAGGCAGCACGGTCAAGGCCACCCGCTCCATATGCCGAGCCTCCATATACCTCGTTTCATAGCTCTAGAATTTATCAGAGCATCTAATACATGCATACACACATATATATATATATATAAAACTAGGTCTATATTTCATTAATAAACCTGTATAGACCGAATGTTCCTATTTCCAATGGAACAAGGTTAAATGAAACGTGTGTGAACACGGACGTCTAAAGCCTGCCCCGCAACTTTCTCCTTTCCAGGAAGGCAAATGATGAGACACCTGTTGATACCATTCCTGCTAGGTTTTAAGTTCAACCTGGCCTCCCTGATCCCCCTCATGTTCGGCTTTTTGCTACTGCTCACGAAGAAGGCTCTGCTGTTGACGAAGGTGGCGCTGGTGATCACCGGCCTGCTCGGTTGGAATTCCTTCCTATCCACCACGTATCCCACGAGCGGGATTCATCACTCTTACGAGGCGCTTCCACCGCAGTACTATTACAATTTCCACCACAGACCACCGTACAGGGAATTCCAGGGCAACGACTTCGAGCCACCGTACAGCCAACACGTGATCAGAGAGGTCGTCGACGTTTACGACAACGCGGAGCAGGGCGTTGGCAAGAGGAAGCAGCGGAACGGGAAGAATTTCGTTTGGGTGAAGAGTAGTTGACTCGTTCTACTGCGGTTCATATCATGCTAGATTTTAATCGAAACGAGTGGAGAGAATCGCTCCAGCTAGATTAATTATTCGAGGTAGTTCGTAATTTCATTTCATTCGTCAACTATTTTATTATTTTAAATTTTGTATATTACTCGAAAAAGTAAATTTCGAGATATGTACAATGAGATCATATTGAATAAATATCGACGAGGAAAGATTTTATTAGCGGCGGGCAAATTTTTCCCTTCTCTCCTTCCCTCGACTCATTCCGCTCTCTTTTCTTCGCCGTTTCTCACTCGTCGTAATTATCCTCATCAATTAACTCCTAAGAAAGTCAGTCAGCCCGATATACAAACAATGAGAAAGGATTCCAGGTTGAATCGGTTGAATTCGTTACAATTGAACAACCGTGAAATTGGCAGAAAACCAGATATCCGGATAACCCGGATAAAGGCGTACATATTCTCTTCCCGTAACTCCGATCTAACCATTATCCAGCCCGAATTTGATCCTACGATAATACCTGGAACAACAATTCGCAACTTCGCTGTCGTTTTCGCTGTCGTCCTCATCCAAAAAAAGAAAGAAAGAAAGAAAGAAAGAAAGAAAGAAAGAAACGAAGAAACAAAGGGGGCATCCCGACACGGAGTTTTCACTCCATGACAGATCCATTAGAGCCGCGCGCCATTATCGTAACTGTACTGTATCCATCCACGATTATCTCGAAGGAAGGAGCACCGACGTCCGGGAAACACGGTTTGCTCGCAACAGTGTTCACGATCCCGTGAACGTGCTGCTCCTCCACGTGGCCAACGAGCTTTAAGTCTCTCCTTATGTCAAGTGTGACGACGAACGACGCGGCATACATTATCGAGGATGAACAGTCGACCGTAAAAGTTGCTCGTTTTCCGCCACCGTTTCACGGCCGCATGAACCGTCTCTCTCCTATCTATTCTCTTCTTAAGCCTGTTCTTAACCATTTCTGCACTCGGCTGCCCTGCTCGAACGTGCGTGACGTCCGATTCGTTACCCATGTAACGGTCCGCTTTATTTTTACGTCGTTATAGAATTCGTACGACGCTCCATGTTGCTCGAAATTATCATCATGATGAAATATTTCACGAAGTTGCTCAATCGGAAATGATCCGTTTTCTTTTTCTCTCTCTCTCTTTCTTGGTAATTGGAGATCGGTGATTTCTTTATAACGAAGTTATTCGATAATAGAGTTATTTTTTTTTTTTTTTGAATAAAATTATTCAATCTAGATTTTTTCTCCCCCCTTCTTATTTGATCAATTCGAAGTTTCGTGCGTTATCATTTTCAATGGAATTTGTTATTATTTATTCAACGAATCGTTCTAATGGGAGATAAGATTCTCTCACGAGATTCTTTCTTCCCTCAAAAATAATTCCAACAATTCTCCATTTTTCATCGCACGGTACGCAACATCCTTTTCGATTCGAGGATAATTCTCCGCGTCCCCCTTAATCTTTAAACTGGTGTTTACGGGAAATTCCATCATCGTGAAATTCGTCTCCCTCGAAAGAAGAAACACTTCGCGAAATTATTTATTTAATCGAAATCCTTCCACTTCCCTTCACTTCACTTGATTCAAAGTCCGAAGTAGGGTAATGATCGGCAATCATCCGAAAGAAGAAACACGAAATCCGCGGGTAATAACGAGTCGCAAACTTGCAACCAGATTTTTTTTTCAGAAGATGTCAGAGAAAATTTCTTCTTTTTTTTTTTTCGTTATAATATTGTTAAATCTTTCTTCTTCTCTCTCTCTCTCTCTCTCTCTCTCTCTCTCTCTCTCTCTCTCTCTCTCTCTCTCTCAAGTAGGGTAATTGCGTTCGCTACTGCCTGCCATCAAAGAAGAAGCGAAAAGCGTAGGAAATGATAAATAAGAGGAGAAGAGTGCCCTGAATTTTTCATACACCCGGACCCTCGTGTATGTACGCGTACACCACTGCGTGGACATTTTTAAATATTAAATTTCGTGCGCGCGTAATTGGCCACGGGTCGTTTGACGTATGTGGCGCGTCACGGTCTGTAATCCGTGTCGGATTAACAGTATCCCGTCGAGGCGTGTTAATTAATTCCGCGGTGACTAATTCCCTCTGACTCGCGTAATTAAGGATCATTCGGATCACCGGGGATCTGCGCGCATCATTTAACGAAAATGTAAATACGCAAACTTTCGCCGGTATAAATGAAAAGCAGACGACTTGATCTCTCTCTCTCTCTCTCTCTCTCTTTCATCCCTTTCCATTCTTATTTTCGATTCAAATCTATTGGATCGAAAGATCTTCTTTCTTCTTTCTCTCGATAAATTTTTTATCTCCGTTGTCGAAGTGCTGCTACGTCAAATTGTTAAATTTATGAAATATCTATCACGAAATTCACGAACGCTTGAACTCTTCTCTCGTGATCCATTTTATCGTAGCATACAAGAGTGATTTTTATCTGTGCGAGAATCTCATTTTCGAATTCGAAACGATCGTGTACACGTGCAATACGCAAGGAAAGAAAAACTGCTACAGCCTGGATTCGCAATTCTTGTTGAAACCGGCCTTTAAACTCCATTCGCGTCCTGTTCATCGCGCGGGGGTTCAAGCTTCGCTTGGCAACCGGGTCAGAGGGATACTTATTTACGGGGCTGTACGACATTGTTTTCAATCAGGAATCGTCCCTCCTTCCAAAGGAGGAGGCGTTAAACAGCGCGTGGATCAGGTGTGAGCCGTAATCGTAAGGACGAGGTAGGAGGAGCACAGGAAATACTCTTATAAAAGAGCGGCCATCGAGCAATTTCAATTAGTCCGCGATATTTTTCCAAACTGCGTACACCGCTCGCCGCTCTAAATATTCTAATACACTCGATATATATCGTATCGTATTTAAACGGGTTACAAAAACCGTGGGTTCGAAACGAAATTATGAGAGGAAAGAATAGAATTTGTCACGAATTCGCGTTGCTAGTCGCTTGCCTAGTTGTTGCGCTGTTCGATCGAGCGCAGAGCAGAAACGAGTACACGAGATTATTCGACAAATGCGCGGCGGAGAAGAACGCGTTCGATTGCTTGAAAAGGAGAGCGTTGGAGATCCTGGATTCGGCGATCAAGGACGACACGGTGTACGTGTTGAACGAGTACGTGTCGATCGGCAGGGATCCCTCGGCCGCTGCAAAGAGCGTCGACAGATCGTTCAAGGAAAATGGGACCGAGCTTAGCCTGGATCAGATGCTGGATAACAAGTTTCACGAATATATTTCTTCCAGGAACGTGAAACTGACTATTCCTGGGGACGCGTTTCAAGGTAAGGGGAATTATCGATTTGGTGTAATTTATTTTTAAATAAATTAAATAAAATTAAAAAATACCTCGTTTTCATGTCGCTTCAGGTCGAAAGAAAAAGGACAAGGGATACGGTGCGCTGATAATGGGTGCAATGGCAGTGGGAGGTAGGATACGAATTAATCTTGAAGAATGAAAATCTTGTGATCGATGGCTTCTTCTTGCCAAGTATCGATATCGAGTACTTTATTTTTTTCCAGCCATGATGGCGCAACTGGCCTACGGTAAAATCGCCTTTATCGCTGGAACTGCCTTGCTCACGGCCAAAATAGCCTTGGTTTTGAGCGCAATAATCGGGTTGAAGAAGCTGGTGTCCAGCCAGGGCGGGGGTGGGCACGAGGTTATTTATGCTACAGGCTCCGAACACCATGGAAATTATGGCGGGGGATACGGAGGTGGCTGGCAAAGAGCTATGGAGGGCGTTCCTACAACTTGAATAAAATCAATAAATTTAATTTATTTCCTGTACGATATTTTTGTTAAGCAAGTAAAAAAAAAAAAAAGGATAGAGATACTTTCTGTTTGTATATATAAATAAAGATTAGACGTCGATGATGATGATAGCCTGATTTGAGCGATGTTACAATCGAGCAAGTTAAAATAGATTGCATAGTTTTTTCTATTGAGAATTTTTTTATGTATATTTTGTAGTTAGAATAGTTGAAGAATTACCAAAAATTATTATACAGTATTGTTTCGTATTGTATTTATTTATTTATTTTTCAAATATTTTGCAAATATATTGCAATACGTGTTCGTGTCATTTGTGTAAAAATGACATCAATAAAAAATTTCAGAGGAATATAATTATTATTATTATTATTATTATTATATAGATATCAAATTATTTTTTATTTCCTGGAAATTTGAAGATTTGTAAATAATTTCAAGAAAATGAATGTTTTCAGAATTTCTAAATTAGTACCATACTTTTTGGAGATTTCAAAATCCTCTTTGTACAACGAGAATTAATAATCTGATTTATTAATTTACACTTTTATTATTCAAAATAATTATATATTATTCTCCGATATAAAATTGATATTAAACATTTATTTGTACTCTCTTCGTGGCTCAACGGACTAATTTTCTATTTTTAACTTTTTGCCTCTGATATCCAAAATTACGTTCCCACGATCCACCATGATCGTAATCGAAACTTGTACTGTGCGTATTCTCATAGCTGTGATACGGATATTTAATTATCTCGTACGAAATTTTCTCCTTGTGCTCTGAAAGTAAAGATAAAATATTTATTAATAACATCGTAATCGTAATATTATATAGAGATAAAAAATTCCAAAAAAAAAAAAAAAAAAAAAAAAAAAATAACAATACCAAGAATTCTCTTCAATGCGATCGCGGTCGCAATTGCTAGAGCAACTTTGGCGACGATCAGAGCCTTTCCAGCAATTGCAGCAACCACGTTCGTTATTACGTAAAGCATGGTCATTTTGGACGCGCCTAGAAGATAAAGCAACATCTGCCCATATCCCTTGTTCTTCTTTCTTCGTCCAGCGACTGAAAAAAAGAAAAGAAGATCAAACTTTACATCACCGTAACAACATATAACGAACGAAATGTATAATACTTAATGTAATACGTTCATTTTTCGCACGCAAAGAAAAGCAAAGAAAAAGTAATTTAACTCGTGTCACGCTGTGCGCAAGATCGTACGCGATGATAGTTATGAAAGGAAACAAAAATGGCTGGATGCTAATTGATTAATTAGCAACAGGTAACACAGAATAACTGCAAAGAATCGTTTTCGCGGAACGGTATTTTGTATATATATATATATATTCACATCAGATGCATCGTCATAGGAAGAAGAGGAAAAAAAAAAAAAAAAAAATATCTACTATGAAGTTACTCGAGCATTTGTCTGACCGAAACTCTCTCATTTTATGCAAGATAGAATAATTACAGACCACGTAATATTAACTTTCAACGATTTTAACTTTTATTCAATTTTATTTTACTCTTACTGGAATAATTTTCCTTTTTATCTTATATATAACTACACGGATATATAGATCCGTTATATATTTATCTATGACATTATTACGTTAAAAGTATCCATCCTCGATTTTTCCAATTACTCACCCTGTTCAATCGCGCCATCTCCACTTTTAACTTCTTCCCCTCCAAAGATCCTAGATTCCCTGGTCACCGACCGATCCTTCTTCCCTTCCTCCATCCCTTCCATCCTCCGCCTCGTCACGCATTCGACGGAATTCTCTCCGCGGCTGCAATCGATCGGTCTCGACACTGTATCGCGATCGCTTCGATGGAGAAGCGTGCAACAGCACGCGGCCAACAGGGCGCACAACGTCAACGGGACGACGAGCAACGTACGTCGAAGCATGTTCGACGCGGACTGAACGGCCGAACGAATGACCATTTTTATAGAAACAGTTGGTATAATTAACAGTTACAGGCATACAGAGCGTGAATCCAGCGGATCGTTCTCCTGTGTTGACTTGTTTCGTCGATTCCAAGTCGCTGATGCGATACCCGTTGCTACACGTTTGTATTGCGCCCGTTGATAATTGCGCCGTGGCCACGCGGTGTGGAAAAAAACGATACCCCGCCGCAATACGAATGAAAAGGAATTGGGCTAATTGCGAGGGCGTTCGGGAAAAACTGCTCCTCGACTCGGCTCGGAACGAGAGAGAATCGGAGGTAATGTTCTGTGAGCAGAAAGATATAGAAGAGATAACTCGAGTACTAAGAGATTATTCGACATTTTCTCCCCCTCTTTTGAAACTTTTCAATGGTAATTACGAATATTAAAAATTTTTGTTAATTCGTCACGAAATAACGTTGATCAATTATCGAATGTTGTTGAGTAATCGCGTCGAAAATTATTTTTTATTGGATCGATTTGAAAAGTTGAAAATTATGATTCGTAAAAGAGTTTCTTCTCTCAAATTCGATCATAAGTATCGATAATCGAATAATGGATTTCTATTTTAAATTTCGAACAAAGATTTTTAAACAACCTCAATAATTCGATACTCGGGACATACTCGAAAGAATAACGCCGTAATACTTAATACAGCTATCCGATTGGAAAGTCATCGTTGGGAATTTGAAATCGTAGATCCAGGGAAACATTGTCGCCAAATTGAGACTGTTCTCCCTAGCTCCGCCTCCCGTGCCGCTTATACGCGGCGGAAGTGGAGAACAAGGTCTAAAAGGTAGGCTCTTTTTCTTCGGTGCTGCTTTGTGTGCCACTGGGCCGATTGCGCATCCTCGATTCACTTGTCTCGCAGATAAAACTATAGGGGAAGGTCGCGCGTTAACACGCCACGTGAAACCGTGAAAACGACGGGGAACACGATTTCTGTTCACGATCCCCGGTGAAATACCATGCGTTCTCCTCGCGAGAAACATCGATTGCCTCGTGAAACCTCTATTATCTAAATTTTGTATTATTTAAAAGTATATATATGTAAAAATTTTTATTCGAATCATTTGATATTCTAACGAAAGGAAATTCATGATGGCCGAATCGAGGTGAAATTTCAATCGGGATAAACTTATTCTCGTTATATCGTCAAATGTATTTTCACTTCGAGCTACACCTTCTGAGAAGGAAAAGTAGATTGTTACGCAATAAAGTCTGCGTAATAAAATTGTTACAACTAGCCAATACAATGTTTCAAGAAAGTAATACACCGTGTAATAAACGATTTTACAATCGTCAGGATAGTTAAACGCGTACGAGTTCGCACCTTCACCCTTTTGGCGTCGCTCTTCTGTCCGTTAATTCAATTTGTCAAACGCGTATATCCATAAAGAATTTTGCGGTGTCGATAAATTCTAAGGATAAAGATCCCTCCTATAAGCGATAATATCTAGAGAAGAAGACTGGTAGCTCTAGAGATCGAAGAGATTAGAACGCGCTCGAAGCGAAATCGAACGGTAGCCGAACGATGAACATAAATTCCAGACTCTCCTGGAGGAAGATAATGAGCCAGGTCAGAAGTTACAACCACCTGTTGTTGATTGCTGGCCTGTATCCAATAACAAGATAATAATAATAATCTAAAAATAGGATTTAAAAAACTTATTGATACCCTAAAGAGAATTCTCTTCTCTTCTTCTTTTCTACGTTTATTCTATTTATTTAAATAGATAAAAAAAAAATCAAAATGCAAATTTAGACACGTAAAATATTACTTTATAAGATCGTTATAATAATTCAAAGTAATTGTTTTTGATAAACAATAAAAGAAATTATTGTTTCAAAGTAATAAGTTCGATTGTATTTCAATAAAATTATTTTTTTTTTTTTTACTTGAAATATAATTAAAATTGTCTATTTACCTGTTCAAAGAATTTTCTGTTGACTATTCGATTAGCTTGTTGTTCGAGCTTCGAAGAAAATCAGAAGAAAAATATTTTTGCTCCAACTCATTGCTCTTCGTATCACGTATATTGTGTAAACATTGGTGAAGAGAAAAGAGAAGAAATCCTTCTTGGAAACGGGACTACTTCGACGATTTCTTTGTAATTTGAAAGTCGAGGATTATATATACATTTTTTCGGAAGGATTTTCGAACAATTTTTGGACGTACATCTTTGCCTTCAAAAATTCTTATTCCCTTTGTGAATAGAAGTGAATCTTTGGATTGGCAAAGATGTTTGACAAGAATCGCCAGGATCTATTCACGTTGCGACAGTAACGTATTCGCTCATTAATTCCGCGCGTCCCCATTTACCAGTAAACCGACAACTTTCCTTCGTAACAATGGAGAATGAACTAATGTCGCGTTTACTATTTCATTGTGGTGGAATAAAAGTAGAGTAAGCAATTGCTAGCATAGGAAGAGATCCAAGTTTCCAAGCGGTAAATAATATGTAATGACTTATGGCTACGACGAATGGAATGCAATATTGCAAAATAAAAAAGGTTTAAAAATTATAGTGTCCCAAAAAGTGAAAAAAGTGGCACGATGTAATTACAGTAGAGAAGAAGAAAAAGAAGAAGAAGAAGAAGAAGAATATGGTTCGTAAAAAGTGACCTTTCTACTAATACTACCTTGTTGTTTCACCTAACTCCTTCACCTGAAATAATATCTGTGCTATAATCAAAATATCCTCTAAAACGAATTACTACGATGAACATACAAATTTACAAATAAAAACTATTCTAGAAACATTGGGCTGTAGCACAGAATTTTTTTAAATTTTTAAAAATTTAAAAAAATTTTTGTTTAATTTCAAAACAACTCAATTTGTATTAATGAAGAAAAAAAAAATTCCGGTTGAAAAATTTCACAATGGCACCCCAAAAATTGGACGGAAAAAGATTCGAAGGATAAAAATTTTTAAAGTAATTCACGATTAAAACGTCACAATTTCGTCACATCGACTTATCAAAAATTTAAGTTACCGGTTCCCGGACAAATAAAACGCAAAATTTGCATCGAGAAAGGAAGAAAACAAAGATTGGTTTCTCACAAACTCACCTGGAATTAAATACGAAAAATCAGCCAAATATATACCTTCGCACGTTTTTTAAAAAAAAAGAACAATCACGACGAATATAAATATTCGAATCTGCCTCGAATCTTTCCAACTTGTTTACGTCTTCGATCTTTGAACAATTTCCATTGTTTGCCGTGGAATCCGTCCCCAGCAGCGTCCGCGCGCGAATTCACCTGCGTGTTGTGAATGTGGCACGCGCGTTAACACTGTTCACTTCGGTTCCTCGCGAGGATACCTTGTTGACGCATTAGAGATGCGTTAACCTCAATCCAATCCGTGTATTCGTATTACAACAAGATCGGCACAGTGACACGTTCCATTTGACCAATTCATTTTTTCTTTTCCACCATGAATTGCGAATCAAGATTATAATCTTCGTGTCTTCGCGTCCCTCCTTCTTACACAATTTTCAATCCAATGCTCGTCTATCATATAAACATACAAACACGTTTCTTAGAAGCTTAGGGTGAAAGAATCCTTATTACATAAATTATTAACCAATTTATTTATTACGACAAAGTTACACCAAACACTAGAACTATCAATCGTAATAAACGATTTAATCAATTCAATCAATCTGCTTTGATAGTCCTAGTGTTAACAATTTCTTTTTCTTCTCCAAGTTCAAGAATTTGAACAAAAATTCTTTCTTTTTTTTTACCTCGTCCCACTGCTTCTTTGGATTGTTACAAAAAATCCAAACTTGTAAACTTGATGGAACGATGGATGGTCGAGTTCGAATTCAGTCGACGATAGTTTTAGATGGGAGAGTGAAGGTTGCAAACTGAGACACCCTGTTGGTTTTCCACGCCGCGGACACGCCTAGTTAGCCAGCAGGGAAAAAAGAGGAGAGGACCGCGAGTGAAGGTGAGGCGCACAAAACTGGCGCGACGAGAGGCGAGAAAAAGATGCCACGTGCTATCCTCTCCAGCCGCTCTCATTGTTACGCGATCCACGCCTCGAGATCGCTACGCCAAATAAAACAACAACGTTACTGCTCCTTGCGTTCCTTAATTGCAACGCGTGCCGGATGGAACGAACCGAGAGACGTTAACACGCGTTACATAAATTTTTTGAATCGAGTCGAATAATAAAATTCACTTCCTCTCTGCACAATGTCCACACAACGAAGAAATTCTATCTAGAAACAGATTCATCGACATCCTTATGATTTACATTCTTTATAAAATCTTTAATATTCCAAAATAGAGAAAGAGAGAAAAGAAAATATACCTTCGATTCAGACAAGATTGGAATCTGGACCAAAGAGGACGCGATGCAAGAAGTCGAGAGAGAAAGAGGAAGAAAGGGATACGCGAGAGTTAAGGCCATGGATCGTCCGCGACCTAAAACTACTTCCATCTATCACGGGGTCAACAGGGTCACGGTACCAGGCACTTGAAATAGGAATCCCTCTACATTTAGCCACCTCCCTCCTCCTCATTCTCCTCCTCCTCCTCCTCCTCCTCCTCCTCCCCTACTAGAGACGCGAGGGAAATTTTAATTCGTTGCGCGATCGCGATCCTACCTTCTTCCTTCCTCTATCTCGATCTCGGCGGATTCAGTGGGTCTGTGTGTCAGAATGGGTCACGCTGTGAGAGAATCATACGCGCGGGGAGCAGAGCGAGTGGAATAGCGTGTAAGGTGATAGGACGAGGAGAAGAAGCTCGGCCGCCCGTTGAACGGACGAGGAAGGCTGCGAGTTGTTTAGAGGCCTTTCGCAGGGGAGCCTGAGGGAAGCGAGGGGGAGCGCGTCACGTCACGTGTACCATTGGTAGGTCCGCGGACTGCGTTGGCACAGCTCCTTACGTGGGAGACAACTCAGCCCGATTCGCGAGGGATGGCGGATCGCCGGATGGTATATATTTGTCCGGGCTTGGTTCTTCTGTCGTCAGTCTCCTGTCGTGGATCCTGGGCCCCGTGGAAGTGCTCTCTCTCTCTCTCTATCTTTCTCTCTCTCTTTCTCTCTCTCCCTGAATCCGCGAACCCAATATTCTTTCGTGGCGTTTCTCTTCCGCCGTGTCGTTGATCCATCATTTTGTCGATCGAAGATTATATTATATCCGATATATATAATAGAGAGGAAGATGATCGTCGATCTATTCAAGTGTGTGTCGATCTTGTTGGCGTGGTGTGCGCTCTGCGAGGGGATAACAGAGGTTAATAATAATAAGGAAGAGGAGAGCCTGGTTGACAGGGGATTCAGGACGATGTACAGGGTGTACGAGGATTGCCAGCAACGGAACATAGCTGTGTCGCCGTGTCTCAAGAAGAAGGCGATAGCGTTCTTCGAGAGGTTGGGCAGGATACGTAGCCTCCCACTTTCGGAGAATTTCGAGCTGATCAGGAACACGGATACCGAGATACCGAGGAGCTCGTTCACCGAGTTGGAGACCACTTTGGGGAGGACAGCGTCGAGCAAGGAGGAGATACTCAACGAGATACTGTTCGACAGGGTTGCTTCGTTGTTGAACAGTTTCAACGTTCAGATCAGATTGCCAAGGACTAGCCCCGGCGAGTTGAAACGAGGTATGGAGGAGGGACGTGGCAAGATGAAGAAGATGATGGGAATGATGATGATGGGAATGGCGATGAAGATGGCTGCGATGATACCCATAGCCCTCGGGGTGCTGTTTCTGCTTGCCGGCAAGGCTCTGATCATAAGCAAAATCGCCTTGGTCCTGTCCCTGATTATCGGTTTGAAGAAATTGCTGAGCTCCAAGCAGAGCAACGATCATGGCGGTTGGCAGCATGGAGGCGGTGGAGGTTGGGACAGGAGTCTGAAGAACGTTTTGAGCTCCACAGAGGCCACCACGACGGAACTGGCGCGAGAATATGCGCAGAACTTGGCCTACTCGGCGCGACATCACCACTGATCGTTGCGGAAAGAAGGGAAAGAAGGGAGATCTTCCGGTTCCGGTTCGGCGTGCATGGGCGCTCGAATGACGTTTACTCCAGATTCCAGGCCAACAGACGTTCCGTTCGCGTTTATTGGATTGTTCTCAGAGAGTGACCTCGCAACATTTTCTTCAACATAAAGAAATTATTGATAAAGAATCGATGTAGAAACAAATTCGTTATTATTGTTATTGTTATCGTTATGAATAATTTCGTGGAAAAGAATAATTGCAGAGAAACTTACAGGTATTTCGAGATTCGTGTCTTTCTTCCAAGAAACATTCAACGTCGAATTATTTATAAAAGAAACATTTAGAAATTATTGAATTTTGTTACTTACTTTTTTTCGTACACGTGTCTCTTTCTACGAGAAACGAAAAGTTCTTTAACGTCTCTTGATTGTAAATTTTTATAAAAATATTCACGATTCTGTAATATATATTTATACTAAATTCCTACTTTCAACTTTCAACTTATTCGAGCTTCACGATTAAAATTCTATTTCTTATATAGAAGAAATTCTTCGATATACTTTGCGACTTGCGTCTTATTTTTTCTTTCTTTTTATCAAAATATTGCTCCACAAATAACATTAAATAATCATAATATTGGACGAGGATTTGTGAAATTTGTGAAATCGAAGCCTTAATTGAACTGAATTTTTTTCTTCCAACATGAGAAACCAACAAGAGCAATTATCAGACAAGTACATAATGCGAACGTTAGCGACATTTATCAAGAAATACCGTCACGCGATAATCAAGTGCATCGTGTATTACAACTGCCACTCATTTTCGTTCCTCGTCAACCAAGAATCCATTCGGCACGATAATAACCGCACAACTATCTCCACGCATGCGAATTTCTAACGGAACCGAGTCGAGGCATTTTTGTGTTCGAAACGAATTGCAAACAGAGAAAATTACTTTTACGTATTATTTGCAATTGTTTTCTCCCAATTGCAAACAAGGCGAACTCTTTCGTATTCGTTTCCCTAATAGTTCAATTAACCTACGGAGACCCAGACCCAATAATGATCAATAATATCGTTAAAGATAACGACGATACTTAAAGTTTAATGCATTTACGCAAAAAATAAAAAAAAAAAAAAATGCGCAAAGTGTACCTGACAAAAAGATACAGAATTTCAATTTAATTTCTCCACTACGAGCATAAACATTCTTATTTCCATTTATCTCGTCGTTAAAACAATATTATCGATCGTATCTGGGCCCTTATTCTAACAGATAAGAAGTTATTTATTATCGAACGCCATTTATCGCATTTATCGTTATGATACGTATTATATTAACCCCTCTTTGACTTATTTAACAGACTCCTCCATGGATGGATGGATCGAGCCTGAGATCGAATAAAAAAGACGCGCAGTAATCGACGTGAATAAGGAAGACACAACGATTTAATCGTTTCCAACGCTTATTCTTTAGCTACACCAGATTACGAGAATACAATAATATATTACATTCTTACGCCTTAAATCTTCGATTCGAGATCACGTGGGTCGCATTGCGCATGCGCGCGGCCCACGTGATCATAACCTCAAAATAACCGCGATGCGGCTATCAGTTTTACCGAAATCAGTATTATTATCGGCCTCACTTTTGATAATCACGGTGTTCTCGTCTCGTGAAATAGGTTCGTTCACTTCACTTTCAGACCGAGAACCGCGGCGAACAGGGCGAAGAAGAAGCCTGCAAGTAGCGCGGTAGCTTTTAACAAGATTAGCCCTCCGACCAGTGTTGGAATCAGAGCGACGAATTTCAATTTGTACGCCATCAGCAACGCCATCATCGTGCGGTCCATCTTTCGCTTCTTTCGGCGTGGACGGTCTGAAAACAAAAGGAATAATTATATGTTCCGTCGATTATCTTCTTTTATATCGATCTGTCTATCGTATATAGATATAAGAACAATTATGACAGATTTTATTTTTATTCTTGTAACGATCGCGTATTTATCGAGAAATTTTCTGTAACGTCTTTTAACATAGACAGTAAGAAAGAAATTAATAAATGAGAATGAAAATTACATTACGATTAAGTATCGTTTTATTTGATCATAAAAATATTGTTGTTAAATTCTCGAATTTTTCTCACCATCGATCAGTCATCGAACGAAGATATATAAATAATATATAATAATATATAATAATAATAATAAGAATAAGAATAAATAATTAATTAAAAATTACCTCGAAGAGGCACAAGATTTGAATGATTTCTAATGAAAATCAAAGTTATGCGTCTCTAGAGAGAGACATTCGATATTACCTGGTCCATGAAAGTCTTTCGACAAACCGAAACCGGTATTCTTGCTCCTCAGAATTTTAGTTTTATCTTCCATCCGCTGAAGAGCAGCGCTTTGAGATGCAACCTTGTTGTGAACCTCCTTGACAACCTTCTTCCCGACTGGATAATACTCCTTGTGACTCGCATGCTTCTCGTCACTCTTCGATCCTTCCAATACGCGCGCCACGCAGCTCAAAGTCAACAAAATCGCGACTAGATTCACTCTCGATTTCATCGTCCACGATTTAAACACGGCTCTCAATTCACATCCTCCAAAATACGTTTAAAAATACCTCCGGCTTACGACGTTCTTGATCACGACAGACTGGCCACACCATGACTTTCCTTAATTATTCATCTCAATTGTTTCTGAAAGCGTGACAAATAACAGCTAAGTTTCATATTTCAATTTCGAATTCGATCAATCTCGAAAGAAATTACTCTAATTCAACTCTCGTTTTCCTTACCAAAAAAAATCTTTCTTATCTCCGTGTATTCCTCGTCTAACATCCACCGATCGTATAACTCGTTTACAAGTCTCTACTCCCAACGAAAAACTCTAAACACTTGGAGAGGGGAAAATAAATAAAGAAATAAAATAAAACACTCTAAATACTTCGCAAATGCAAATTCGAAGTATCGGTGACGGAGGAGTGAGTGCAACAGCGAGCAACCGCGACCGCGAGCTAACTGATGCGCTCTTGATTCCTCGGCAACGATCTGTCGGAGGGGCTGTGGCCGGCCAGGGTACCGCGGCGGGCACGCTTCAGTTACCAGCAGGATCGACAGTCCGTGAAAAATGAGCACCGTGCGACGTGGCGGCAATATATGAGCGCGGCACGAGCTCTATGATCCCGATTGCCGGCGATATATGTGTCAGGTTACATCGTCGAACGGTAAAGGGGATCGCCCCGGCGTTCCAAGCGAGCAAGGAACGAACGAACGAACGAAGGAAGGAAGGAAGGAAGGAAGGACAATGAGGGGGTGGAGCGCTGGATCCCGCACCGCGTAATCACACACCGCGACGTGAATCGCTGCGACGTGATTCTTTTTTAGTTACGCTACGCTGTTTAACCGGGCCGATGACAAGTGGTCGAGCGATGATGGAGGAATCGATGAACGGAACCCGCGGGTTTAGGTGGATCCAACCCATCAACGTATGATCGCTTGGGTATTTATAGCAGGGGGGATTGGAATTGGGATTGGAGAAGGGATGTGAAAGAAAGAGGAAAGGTTGAAAATCTGCGATGGTCGTAAATTTAAGAAATAATGGTTAATTGCTCGTATTTTTTTTTTTTTTTTGGAATATAAGGAAAGTTGAAAATCTTTTGAGATGATAACTCTTCGTTGAAATTTAAGAAAGTGGAAATTAGAATGATCATCATCGAATTGGATTAAATGGTGCAATTTTTGAAGAATGTTTATGACTTTTTTCTATGAAAATGGAATTCTATATTTAAATTTAAGTTGAAAATTATTTATAGAATGACGATTATAAAATGATCGATAATTAAAAAATGTAAGGGCCATGTTTGGAAAAGATGTTCCGCAGTCGTTCCACTTTTGTGTTGAAAATAATATACTAAGAGAGGTTTCTAGCACGGAGTTCCTGGAATCGTGAAAATCGACGCACTGCACGCGATACAGTTTATCGCGTTCTGAAATGAAACCTGCATGAAAACGGAATTCTTCGTGTCGATCGCTTTAAACGCGGATAAATGATTGTTAGAAAGCTGTCTCCCTTGACAAATGCGGCTCTCGATGTCACGCAAATATTGAGATTATAAAAACACTTTCCTAGACCGTTTCCCATCATACGCCTCTCTCGACGATACTCAAATTTGTGAAAATGATTGGTCGCGTATACCGTTAGAAAAGTAACAATATTATCTGTAGACCAGATACAATTTCACTGGAACGGTGAAAAGAACTTTCGATAAAAGTTCAATTTCAAAAGTTCGATAATTCCACCGAACGATAAAAAACGGAGTAAAATGGAAATCGTTTAATTACAGTGACCGAATTTCGATCGAGAACTCGGCCGAAAAAATTGCATTGAAAAAAATCTGTGTTCACGAGATAAACAAAAAGAGGCGTCTAAACATCGGAGATGCCGTGTCGCACGAAATCCCCTTCGTGCGTACGAATCGAGCGCAAAGTTTTGCCCAGTCTCCTATTCAAGTGGCAGGTGAAAGAGCGTTGCAACGTTCCACGAGGAAGGCAAGGGTAATTTCGTAGCTTCCTGCGTGAACACGGTGACGCGAATAATTGCGCGAGAAACGGGACACGGAATAAAAAGTAGGGGAAGAGGAGTATAAAGGAAAAATGGGAGGACGAAAATTCTACTATGCCTGCAAAATCACTGTCATCATTGCGGTCCCTCTCTTTCTGCGTTCTTTGTCTCTTGCCCGTTGCGTGCCGCGCGTAACTCGATCGATATCGCAGTTTTATTTCCAAAGAAATGTAACGGTCGGGTGTTGTCCACGGATACACCCGCAAAAAGCGTCGAAAGCGGCGCGATAAACCAGAACGATCAGAGAGATTTTTCTTTTCAGAAAGAACTCAATTAGGATCGTCGGTCTTTTTTCTTTTTTCGCCCGATCTCCATCGAATTGATCATTCGTTCCGCGTTCAGAAAAACGGGACACTTCACGAAGTTGTAAATAATCTGATTGAAAGGTTTTTCAACAAGAAACGATCCTTATCCAACTTCCACATTATGCAACATTATTTTTCTTCACTCGATCGTGCGATATTGAATAACGTTAAAGATCATGGAAATCTTAAAAAGAAATCACGAGTAAAAATTAAACGCGTGTACTTTCCGTTGAGATAAAATTTTCCCCTCCGTTTTGCTCGAACGATTCGCACGATAAACAGATCCAATGTTTTGTATAATCACGAAAGCTCTCCCTCGTATCTTCAAATCGTTCACCGACTCGGCATCGTGAAGATAATTAATTCTCCGCCTCTCGCGTGTTATTAAACAATTCCGTTTCACGCATCTTAACCAAACGATCGAGCGAAAACGCGAAGAGAGATTCGTGAGGATCCGACATGAAAAATCCCACCTCGAAAAATCTTCTCGTTCAGAAATCTTCAGAATTAAAAAAACTCATCGAGAACAGAGTTCTCACTTTGCCAAACTTTACCAAAACTTTACCAGAAAAGAATCTTTCATATTGGCGAGACAGATCCTCTCAAAATGGATTAATTTCTCGACTGTGAAATATGGCAGTAATTAACGGATGGCGCACGGTCTCGTGGCGTTTTTTTCACGGGAGCGTGTCGCGTCCCATTGTCGTCGATCGAAATGTTCCGTTGGGGACCAATCGTGGCCAATGATCGAAGAGAAGAGAAGAGAAGAGAAGACGGAGGTGGAATGGACAGTGTATTTTTCGTCACGCGTCAAGTACCGAGTTAGATGGTGGTCTCCTTCTCTGGCCTTTTCACGTCCCACCTATATATAAACTAATGGTCCGGCCTAGGGCGAATGTCAGTTAACATTTCATTTGCCGACTGGACGGTGCTCTACTCGTCTGCTTTCTTCTTCTCTCGAGAATTCTCTCTGGATAAAAATATTTATGATAAATTAATTGTTCGATGGTGAGATATATAATTATATACGCAATAGATCTTGTTTTTTTTTTTTTCTTTCTTTTCTTCTCGCGATCGATCTCACGATTGGGAGACGTAATTTTTTTTTTTTTTTTTTTTTTAGGATGTAATCGCGTAATTCTTTTCTTTCCGAAAGTGGATCGAAGTGATAAATTGAATTTCTTGAGAAACGAGGGTGGTGCTGTTTCGTCGTCAAGTTCCTATATCATAGAATATATATAGAAAGGAATGCTGCTGTTGATGTATCCGTTGCTCTTCCTGCCTCTGTTGACCACGGCGGAAACCACGCAGGCCACCATGATACAGGAAAGATGGAAGCTGGAAAATTGGAGAAGGCCCGCGGATTGGATCGGTGATGGAATTTTCAACGTTGCGGGCACCGTTCTTCCTGTAACTCGATCACCATTCGACGGGATACGAGGTAATACGATGCGTATATATATATATATATTTTAAAAATATAAAATTCCTTTCGCGAAAAATCAAGAATTTTAGAAATTATTTACCGTTCTAAATGATGAAACCGCGTCGACGATAACGTGTTAATTGCACAGTTGCGCGGCAATGTTGTTACACGAGCTCATTAGCGACGTCTAATATGCATCATAACGCGAAAGCACGGTCGTTCACAGCACACAGTTGGTGGTCAACGCAATAACCATAAATGCTTTCCACTCCAGTTCACCTTATTATCTTGTTCATTTCGCGAACGTGACTAATAAGGAGCGCTTCCTTTTTGCCTCCAATGACTTGCGTTATCTGGTGCATCTCCGATGACATAGAAACGGTATCCGATTTTGTAGCTCGATCGATGATCGAAAAAGATATCGTTAAATTTATAGTTGTCAATTTAATTTAATTGTTCGTTCGAAAATTGTTCTCATTGGAGAAATTAGAAATTTAATAATATTCGAGAAAAAAATATATATATATAATTGTAATGTTCAATTTGTTACAGCACGTAGGAAGAAGAAACACAAGTTGAACAAATACGTTATTCCCCTGATCGTGGGATTCATGCTGATAAAATCGATTCTACTCCCTATCGCCTTGAAGACTTTGGCCATTTTAAGTGGCAAGGCGGTCGTTCTGAGCTTAATGAGCTTGATTCTGGCGGCCATCGTGGGGCTGAAGAGGGTCGCACAGGGCCACTCGGGAGGGAGTTACGAGGTTCTAACCGTGCCCCACAATAAATACAAGAGGCAAGATTATCTCCTCGACACGGGAGACGACTTGATGGACACCGAGCCTTACAAGTTTTATAGGGAACGACGCAGGAGAAAGTAAAGATTTATATCGGAAAACTTGATCACGTTTCGTTCATTTTGTCCCTTTAACTCCTTTAACCCTTTCAAATTTGTTCAGGAGTAAGGGAAAAATTTTCCTTCAGACTCGATTAACGAATTAAAGAAGATGAGTTTGATATATATATGTAAGATAAAGAATCGGGAAGAATTTTAAAGATCTCACTTCCAACAATTGAGGAAGATAATTAGGGTATTGGAGAAGCAAAGGGTATTGGACACTAGAGTTGAACATTATTGTTGAACAATATCTTTTCAAAATATATCAAAAGAATCTTGACATTAATTATCCGATAATTTAATAACTAATTCAAGTTATTATTACTATACTGCATATATAATAGAGTTGATCTTAACAATTAACGCGAAAAGAATTAAAATGTTGATCGAAAACGCTTTGCTTGCATGTACAGTGTACTTGTGTCATTTATCAAACAAGTTTATAAAACTTTGTTTGTTCGAACGAATACGAACGAGACTCGCTAATTATTCCGTTACGCAAAAGGAATGGAGCAAGAACGAGGTAAGAAATTAGCGGATGAAAAGTGAAGCGAATCATGGAAAGTGTTTTCGAATAATTGCCAATTATCATTCCCTCGAAAAAATTCCCAATAATTAATCGCTATATCGAGTTCGATTATGGCGTCGATTCTTCGCGAAAAGGAAGCTCGTTTCTTAAATTTTGAGATAAATTTACGAAGTAAACGAGTAAAATTGTTTTGAGAAAATTGATCTCCTTAAATGTTCCATCGCTTTTTTTCTAGATTGCAAGAGTTGTTTATATAATTAAATAAATAATAGCCGTGTATTAATTGTGTTTTTTTTTTTGAATAAATGAAAGTCGATATAAATCTTCATATCTTTTAGATAATTTTAAAATTTGTAACTAGTCAAAATTTGTTAATTTTGTATATGTCGTGAAATATTACTTCGTATAGATAGTAAATAAATGGCAAAAGTTATAAAAATATGGAACTTTACTCCATTCACAATCGTTCGAGTGAAATGAAAAAAATAATAAAGATATAAAACGAGCTAGTACGTTAAATAGGGCAAGTCTCTATTCCACTCCGCTATAAAATTCGTGGAAGAATATAATAACTCGCCTTTCCAATTCGTCAAATGTCTCTCTATTTTTCAATCACTCTTACTCTATTCAGAAACTTTAATTTGCAAAACATTGTCTTCCCAACTAACAATCTATTAACCACCCGAGAATGAAATCACGATTGAAAGTCGAAATACAAGAGGAATATGACAATAGGGAAGAAAGTAATATAGACGCAATCGAAATTGAATCATCGTCGAAAGCAAGGTGAGTAAGAAATTTCTCCATTTAACATACGCTTGGATATTAACATTCTCTCCTTTTCCATCGAACGATTCTTTCCGTTTCTTCTCTCTGTCTCTCTTCCATATCTTCATATTTTTTCCAATATCTAAGAAATCGAAAAAATTCGAGAACATTGGTTTTCCACACGTTTGGTTTTTTGACATACATTATTACAGAAAATAGAGCCGGCCGTACTTTCGTTCGTAATCTCGAAATTTTTCTTTTCACGAGGACTTTTTCTTTTTCCAATCGTCGAACAAGTTCGAATCGACCTCGAAACAATCTCGAGAAGAATTAGAAAATGATCGGTTGCGGATGATATATATACAGTGGCCGACTTGGTGAGGTTGTCGGGTGTAACCTAGAAAATTAATCGCGAAAATCCATCGAACGTTATACCGTTAACGCAGGAGATGACGAAGTTTCGCGCTGCTGTTAAATATTTAAAGAGACCCGGAACGAGACAATGGAGCGGCGCCCGCGAATAAGGCAGTTGCCATTCCGAGGCACGCGCCATTCCAAAGAAAGAAAAAAGAAAAAAGAAAAAAAAAAAAAAGAAAAGAGGAAGAGAAGAAGAGGAACGATGCACGGATCGATTGGACATTGTTTGCCGGGCGAATGACACGCTCTGGCTGAGCTACTTACCATTAGGAATTCGCGATAAATCCTTATTAAAAAAAAGAAAAAAAAAAAATGAGCACATTCGAACATTTATTTGCCCGAGAATACACACACACACATATATATATATATACGTATATGGTTAATTGAAGATCGGTGTTTACTTTGAAAAGAAAAACACGGAGAAATGGATAGAGGTGAACTGCAATTAAAAGTATCGACAAGTGCTATCGACCAATTTCATTCACTATAGCGTGTATCTAAACCGCTATTGACACTGTAAATAACGAGCCGGTGAAAGTAGAGTTTATCTCTCTCTCTCTCTCTCTCTCGAAAAATGCATGCGAAAAATTTATATCCTATGTCTCGAAGGAAATACTTGAATTTTAGAGTGAGATCGAGTGAGATCTGCCTTCTTTCGTCTACCAACTCAACTTCGAGCTTCGATCGACGTTTAAGTGTACAGTTATGAAGCCGATTCTCGGTACGTAACACGGAATATATCGGTAGTGGACAAAAGAAATAATAATAATCCTCGGAGAAACTATCGGTAATCATATCATCAAGCGTCGTCGTATCAGGAAATCCATCAATGCAACGAGTGGCTTTGTACGACCACGTCTGTGGGTCAAGGTGAACTGCTTGCTCGTTGCACGTGGACGTACAAGATACCTATATATGCGCATTCGTCCCAATTATCTCTCGAACGCTTTTCAATCCTAGAATTTGGGGAATGCCGGAGAGGATTTAGATGAATTATATATCCGCGTCGAACGGTGATCCGATCGTGAAGACAATAATCCATTGATCCGCGGATCTATCGATCCTTGGAATACAATATCAAAGACGAGAATTCAATTCGATAAAAATATTATATCGATTTTTAAAATTAATTCCAAAAGTGCAACAGTGCTTTTTTTTTTTTTGGATCATCGAAAGATATCATCCTCTCTCCACCACACGGTGTCCTCTCGTCTCCCTACTGACCCAAATCTGGGAACTTGGGCGATCGGTATTGCCCGCGCTACTAGGGTCCGGCCAGCTTCTTGCGCCAACTCGGGGAAGAGTCGGCCGTTTGTTTAAAAAATTATTGAAGAAAGTTCGGCGTGACGGGGAGGTGGGTACAACAACGACGGTGTACCAAGCGCGATGACGCCTTGTGTGTGCCTTAGTCGTTCGTCGTCGTCACACGCGTCATCCGCCGTGAGAGTGGGGATATTGGGGAGGGTCCCAGCTGGCGAACACCTATAAAGATAGAAGCTACGGAGGGTCAGATCACACTTTGCTCCGAAAATTTTCCGAGGATCGATTCTCGTGGACAGTGAGAAAGAGAGAGAGAGAGAGACATTTGCCAATTGTCAGGAAAGATGAACAAGCTGGTGATTCTGGGATTTCTCGCCGCTTCCGCGACGGCTGTGCCCACGTCGGTTGTTAACAACGTTCAACTGAACAGGGATCTCGATTGCTTCGAGCAAGAGAACGCGTTGTTCAGCTGTATTTCCGTCAAGACTGTCAGCATGCTGGACAGAGCTGCCAGGTCCAGCGATATTGAGATCATCGATGGGGTCAAGTTTGTAAGGGAAACGCCGAGTGAGTTTCGACCGTTCGTCTTAATTAATTTCTTCTTCCCTCTTCAACCTCTAATATTCGTGATAAGATATTCGTTTTAAAATTATTATTCCATTTTCTTCGTGACGTTGATCGTATTTATCTCTAAATTAACTTCACTCTATTACTGCTCGTTTAAACTTGTTTCTTCTTCGAATCAATAGTAATATCTCGATAAAAAAGAGACTGGATATTAAATTCGTTCGTTCAAGTTCGTTCGATCCTTTCAGGATTTTTCCTTTATCTTTATTTAATTACGGAATAGATTAAAGATAATTGAAGTAATAAGCATCGCGGTTCGACGAGGTGTCATTTCTTCCTTCCAGTGGAGCGGAATGGAAAAGAGCTGAGGAGCGAAGTGGACATCATGAACGAGCTGCCGAGAGACGCGTCGGATAGAGCCATCAAGCTGATGGGTATGATGTTCGACTCGGTCATATCCTTCGTGAAATCCCACAGTTTGAAGCTGAGCATGCCCGAGGAGGGCTCGATCTCCCGCGCTCTGGACCAAGGTAAACTTTCTATCTTTCTACGATAGAGGAGACGTGCGCATCCATTACGTAATCCTTCCCACCCTGATGACCGTTCACGTCACACACATATGAACGAATAAACCAAGTGTTCGACCAAGCCTTTCACCTTCGTGATATCTACACGATGCGCCGCGGCAACCTGTTCCGGATAAACTCGTTCCTCGCGCGTTCCACCTCCTACGTTCGCTTTCCTTCTCAAATTATATACACGCCATGCTCGGTGAGAAAAGAGAGAGAAAAAATGCTTATTGGAAGTTAATAACAGTAAGACTATTAAATTAGCAACCATTCAACCATCGGTTGGGAGCAAACGTGTTGAGAGTAAAACGGTATGTATCTTGGATTGCGTTATTTTTCAGAGTAATTTCGTGGTAACAAGCTCGAGAGAATTATCTTCAATTCAAAAGAAGATGAACTTGTACTTGAGAATCTAAATTTTCTTTTTTTTGTAACACTTGTTATTTTACAAACGAATATTCGTTGATAAACTTGGCACGTCATCGATCAATCGTCATCTATTGGATCTAGTATGGATAAGTTCAAATTTTGACAAAATTCTGCAAAATTCTTTAGAAGATCTTCATTCCGCCAAAGTAGTAAAATAATTTTGCATTTTTCAGGTCGTACCAAGATAAAGAAGATCGCGTTGCCGCTGATCGCCGCGGCGGGGGTGAAATTATTCGCCCTTATCCCAATTGTGCTCGGAAGTCTCGGCCTCCTGGTGATGAAAGCCCTTTTCGTGGGCAAGATCGCCCTTCTCCTTGCCGGGGTATTGGCTTTCCAGAGGCTGTTCGGCAGCGGAAACGGGGCGACGAGTTTCTTCAACAAGAACAATCAGCCGTCAACTGGATGGGTGGACAACGGAGGTGGGCAAGGTTGGTCGTCGGGCAACGTCGCTTCGAACGTGCAACCTCAGGGTTACTACAGAAGCTTCAACGATCAAGAAACGGATGCCCATTCTATGGCATACTCGGCCCAGGCGCCGATCACGAACGAAACCAATTGAAACTCGGGTCGGATGAAAAATATCGCGAAATGTTCGAACGAAGAGGAATCGGTTGGTGGCCATATCTCGCGAGTCTGGTGCGTTTAAATGATGCTATCTAGATAATTAATTCTCGACTGCTAGATTAATATTTATTATATTAATCCCTTTTGTATTAATAAATTATTCGTATTCGACATTTCTTACGAAACACCTCTTCTTATTTATTAATTCGTTCATCGTCGTCGATCGTTATTAGTCGAATCAATCCAATTTGTTTTCGCTCTCTTCATAAAGACAATCCCTTTTTCTTGAAAAATTTACATTGAAAAAAAAAAATCTCTGAAACGCAACATCACTTTTGACACGATTCTTGAAAAATTTATATTGAAAAAAAAAAAAAAAAAAGAAAAAAAATCTCCGAAACGCAACATCACTTTTGACAACGATCGCTCTCTTAAGTCCGATAAGTCGAAAGCCGATTTCTAATTCGGGAGAAATAATTTGTTATGCGCCTGCAAAAAATATTATACACGCAATGCAACGCGCGAAGGTGCATAGAAAAGCGGCCGATACGTGATTAGTGTGTGTTCGCCCCGCCGCGAAATATCGAAATGTTCGACAATCGAATGTCTGTGGCTCATATTCCATTCAGATCGGACGTACAGTTTCGTTTCCCACTCCCACCGCTCTTGTACCCCATTTTCTCGCCTTCTCTCTCTCCTCCTTTCTTCCTCTTCGTTCGTTCCATTTCCTTCTCTCCTTCTGACCGAAAACAGATTCGGGACACGGCGGCAGCGGCGCAACAGCGGGTCGTCCGTTTTGCATGCCGCGTGTTCCGTGTCACACGCGGCAACAGGCACGGAAATCTAATTTTCACCGAGAAACTTATTACACACCGCCGTCTCGCTCATCGTCCAAGGCGTACACCGTCCAAGGCGAGGAAGGCGGGCGGCATTATCGCGTGGCCATCGGTTCAAAAAAAAAAAGAGAAAAAAGCGTCGCCTCTGGAAACTTTGCCGCACATTGTGATTGGAGATTGGACAAAAGGCGCCGCCACGCACATCCTTTTATCGTTCTTACGATTTCGAGAGACGAGAAATATCTTTAATTGTTGAAGTACGATTGTTCTTCTCTCGCCTCGAATAGATGCTCGTTTGAATAGAGAATTTGGTAGAAAGTATCCGAGACATGGACATCTCCTCGTCCATGCCTTTCCACGAATAAATCGTGATTCTTATTTCCAACGTCTCCCAAATGGCAAATGGACGCCGTTTGAAAAGATGCTTCTTCCTACTTTTCTCTAAAACAAATTATCCGCACCTTAAAACGGCCTATCAACTTTCACGCTTTTCAATCATCGTTAAGATGCTCCTTCCATTCCAGAAAATTGTGTATTCTCACTCCAAGTTTCTACAAATCCGTATTTCTCCATTTATGTCTCTCTCTTTCTCTCTCTCTCTCTCTCTCTTTGTCTCGGGTTTCGAAGCAAACACAGTGCTCGTCGAACTTTTTCCTTCTCTCTCTCTCTCTCTCTCTCTCTCTCTCTCTCTCTCTCTCTCTCTCTCTCTCTC